AATTTTCAGCTGAGAAATTTTTTTTAAAAAAAGACGTTGGTATATAATTTCAAATTTATCAAATATTACGCAAAAAAATAAAAAATTAATATATTTAATCGCTTTAATTTCTATCAACTATCGATTGCTACTGTAATATTTTTAATTGCGAAATTTGTTTGTTGGCCAATACAACCTTTCATTCTACATTTGTTTTACATTTGTAGGTATTGAAAGTCCAAGGTTTATAATATTGCCACTATGTAATAAGTTTTTACGAATGAATTATTTGAAGAACCAGAATCCTTTTTTTTGAGTTTTTAATAAACCCTATAAAAAAAGTTTGTACAGTTATTGTAGGCATTGTCCAAAAAAATGTTCGGAACGGAGTCAATTTTCCGAACAGGGTTTATAAATTTTTAATTGAAAATTATTATATAAAAAACGCATTCATCCAATAAACTTCCTTTAAATGTTTGAAACGGAGTCGATTTTCTGAACAAAAAATCGAATAATTTCAGAATTTCAGAAAGATTTTTTTCATAGGGAGGTCTTATATATTTCTTGGAAGTTTCTTTAACTTTTTATTGAATGACCTTTTAATTGGTCAGTAAAATCAACAGTCTTCTTCGCAATAATTACATTTTTGGCGAGGGTTTGTTCGATTATTTTTATTAGGCTCAGCAACTTTTGTAAGTTTAAATGGACTTCTATTGACAAGAATCTTCCACGAACATGAGAAATAGTTTTGAAAAAATTTTTTTTTGAATTCATTGCAGTCGAATCATAATTACGTCATAATGTATTAAAACATTTTTTTACAAAAATGGCAAGATAAATTAAATATTACCCTAGGAACTGTGAAGAAAGCAATACTATGCATCATGGGGGTATTCTGAAAAGAGTGTGAACTGATCATTTATTTGGGCCAATTAAAAAATACACCGATACTATATAAAAAGGATACTGTATGGCATAAAGCGAAAAATGTCAAAATTTGCAACATTTTTCATAGTCTCCCATAGTATGCATTTTAAATATATATATATTGTTATTTTAAGTACTATGAACTATTTGTTTCTGTAACAGTATACACACGTACAAACGCCCCAATGGCTACCCCACAAAATATTGGTCATCCTCTGTAATATTGGCCAATCGAATTTCAGGATCAGGTGTAACGTAAAAATCGAAGCGATACCACTTTTTTACAAAAAAAATGAGAAAAGCTCTAAATTTTAATTAGGAAACCACTTCCGCGGCCAAATTAAAAATGTTCCTCGTGAAATTTTATAATATACTCAACCCTAACGCGACGTTTTTACTTAGAAAACAAACCACGTTTGTTTTGACTATCACGTTACACCTGATCTTAAAATTTCATTGAGGGATGACCAATTATTTGTGGGAACGCTACGTACGTACGTACGTATGTACGCACTTATGTAAATCATGCAGCATGTAAATTTATCATGTTACATAAAGTGACTAAATATGATACAGTATTACAAATAATTTTACATACGTATGCAACAATAATACTTTTTATATCGAATTATTGCTTTTTATTTCTTGGCTTTAAAATGTCAAATAATTTAACTGCTGAGCATCCTAAAAAAATCATTGATTCATCAAACGAAATTACCCAAATAATTGACAATTTTAATCAATTAAATTTAAAAGATGATAGTTCTTTTAGCGAAATTGTCAAAGAATTATATAATAAATATAACGAAGAACCTTTATGTGACGATTTGAATTTAGTTATTAACTCATTAGATCAAATTATAGTAAAAAATAAGCAAAATCCAGATAATATTATCAATTGGTGCTTAGATAATCAAAATGATCCTATTGTCCAAATCGTTCTTGCAAGATGTTATCGTTTTGGTAAATGGGTTGAAAAGAATGAACATAAGGCATTTATTCATTATCAAAAATCTGCTGATATGGAATTCGGTGAAGGAATATATAGTGTCGGTGTTTGTTATGAATATGGAATTGGTGTTAATGAAGATAAGAATAAAGCATTTATTTACTATCAGAAATCTGCTGACATGAATTGTGTTAATGGAACATATAATGTTGGATATTGTTATTTTAATGGAATTGGTGTTGAAAAAGATGAAAATAAAGCATTTATTTATTATCAGAAATCTGCCGATATGGGTGACGCTGCTGGAATGGATCAAGTTGGATATTGTTATCAGCATGGAATTGGAGTTGTAAAGGATGAACATAAAGCATTCATTTATTATCAAAAATCTGCTGAGATGGGTGACGCTGGTGGAATATATAATGTTGGAGTATGTTACATTAATGGAACTGGAGTTGAAAAGGATGAGCATAAGGCCTTCATTTATTATCAAAAATCTGCAGAGATGGGTGACGCTGATGGAACAGTTAGTGTTGGACATTGTTATCATCATGGAATTGGAGTTGAAAAGGATGCACATAAGGCTTTCATTTATTATCAAAAATCTGCTGAGATGGGTGACGCTAAAGGAACATATAATGTTGGATATTGTTATGAAAACGGAATTGGGGTTAAAAAGGATGAGCATAAGGCCTTCATTTATTATCAAAAATGTGCAGAGATGGGTGACGCTGATGGAATATTTGCACTTGGCGACTGTTATAATTATGGAGTTGGAGTTAAAATAGATGAATATAAGGCTTTTGTTTATTATAAAAAATTAGCTGAAATGTAACAAACAGGCTTCTTATAACTTCAAGAGAAATTAGTAGCAAAAAACTTATTATAATGATAATACATTGTAAAATGTAAACTTAAATGCTTATATATGTTAAATTTCCCGAAAAAAAAAACCACGTATATGAAATTAAAAAATTCAAATCTATAAAGATTAATCTTTTCAAATTTTTATTAATATAAAAATAATACAATTAATGATAAGAAAATATGCATTTCTTATGCATTCTTCGTAATCATTCGCCGAATTCACAATGCGTACGCATTAAACCGATCTTTAAATAGGATTCAAATGAAAGAAAGAGTAGTAAAGAATGAATAAATACCTTTGATTGGCTCTAATATAATAATTTGGCTATGATAATTGTAAATATTATAATTATATTTGGAAGGATAAATTTTCCTGAATTTAATGATAAACAAGAATAAAGCTAAAATTAAAATCTTATTTTTATAAGACTAAGCGCTTGTGTTGTTTAAAGAAGGTTAGAAAAGAATATGCTGTATTGTATTGTATTATAATGGTATAGTTTTTGTGCAATTAATAATTTTTTATAGATTTCATACTATAATTAAAGAAATAATGCTAGAACTTATGAATGTTGACTTATCGTGATTTGTGTAGCAATTTGCTGTAAAAAGTTCAGCTACTATACTTACGAGCTATGATGGCATAAAGTGATTTAGACAGTTAAGCGAGACCAATATAATTCGGTAGTTTACATTACATTACTTTCTCAAAAGAGGGTGAAAAAAAATGGAACGTATGCAGTTTAAATTTTAATAAAATTTTTTAATCGGAAATTATCTGCCTAACTTTGCTCGTTTTTTATGTTCGTTCATTCTCTTTTCAGAAGTTTTTGGACTTTTACAATTGCTAATCCGTCAGGTACTATTGTTACATGAAAAATTGTCTCCCGATATCCCTATGATCGTTGGACGTGTACCACGGGATATTCAAGGATACTGCGAACTTACCCCTGTTATTACTACCGTAATGCTACACGAGCCAACAACTTAAAGAAGAACTTGATTGGCGTGGCGTATAATTGCCGCAGCAATGGTCTTCTTGAACTCCCCAAACCGCTGATCGCTAATGATCGATGGATAATCAACCTATTAATATTCGTACTGACCCCGTATCCGTACTATCATACACAGTACCCTTTTTCCCGAATTGTTAAACCATATACATCGCTTTTAGTTACCATATCGGTCCCGATATTGGTGATGTGTAGCGTAGGGACAACACATGCCGTGACATCAATGGTAGTCCCTAAAAGGGTCTATTCACTATTGCGTCGATGATCCTAACTCCGAACTGGCCTTATTGCCGCCACTATTTAGACGAAAAGCTCTATCCTGCTCGTGCCATCCGTGCGTATGAGCAAGAAATGAACAAGCTTAAGGGCTTTCCACGAAATTATTATCAAGATCGTGACGGATCAAGCCCGGGTCGAGGCCCATTAAAGTCAAAGACCCGAATCTTACGCGTGAAATAGTGAAGGGATTGGTGTTGATAAGAATAGTGGGATGATTCATTAATAGATCAATAGATAGTAGTAGAATCGTAGTTGTTTATTGTAATTAATTATATGGCCGCGTTTGTTATATAAAGGACGCGAATTAGCCTAGTTAGCTTCTTCAGTCTTCGACATCCCTTTAATAGATAGATATCTTCATATATCCATCTCCCTTAATAGCCTAGTTTCGAATACTCCACTTTGTAATTCTTTAACTGTCTTCATACAGTTACATTATCGATAGTAATAAACTAAACTTCGTGTCTTCATACACGAACCCATTGATTTGTTGTGTGCATCACATGTGACTCGTGATCTTTTGTTAATATTGGTGTCGTCACGTGTGACTCGTGACCTATTCTTAATACAATACTTCGTATCTTAATATACGTTGTATTGTTAGCCTCTTTCGATAAAGCCTTAATAAACCTCTTTGATAAGTCGTTCATCTAACGCCTTTTTAACCCAACCAAATCACTAAATATTAGTCTGTGATAGACTAAACCATAGTTCCCGGAATCGTTCTCAGAGGTCGATTTCGAGTGTAACACTATGATATCCGGCCAAAATCATATAATTTTTACTAAGTGGGAGGGGGTAACATAAACCACCGAATCGGGTTGATTCGGCCTTATTATTTTGTATTGGCTTATCATGATATCTAATGTACCTACTAATAGTACAGAAGTATAAAAGTACTACTTTTCGTTTTCAATAAAAACACATAATAGAGTTCTACACTGAATTATACAAGTGTTTCGCTTATGCTAAATTGACTTAGTCCCATGACCCATAACTCATATTCATTTATTCATTTCTCGAACGTAGCCTTCACTATTAGTATCAGGGTTAGAACATTGACATTAGTTGTTGTTAGTGATCTTTATCCTGAGGTAGGCCATAAAAATGTCGCGGTCTCGTGATCACTGACACATCCAACCCATAATTTAAATTACATATTCACGTTTAAATACTAATAGCTCTTTAAATTTAATAATCACATACATTTTAAAGAGCTATTGGTATTTTAAACGTAATGTGTAATTTGAATTGTCGGGTTGGAGGCGATAGGTGATCACGAGACTGTGACATTTTTGTGGCAAGACTGACTGACCTACCTGATTTTTCACCATAACAATGTCTTTAAAAATTTTCATATTCAAAATATTTTAATACTATATATAAATGTTAATACAATTAACACTATGAAAATTCTGAACTAATTAATTATCAATGAAGTCTTCAAATGCTGGTCACCAAGAGAAAGCCGGGCTTTAGGCTTTTGAGTTTATAATTTAACGGACTTAGCCCTTTAAAAACCATATTGGAGATAAATGAATCGTAATACTGTAATTACATATCAGGGCTGAGTTCTAAACCCAAAGCGCAAAGCCTAATTTTCTCTTGGTGCACTAGAATAGCTGTGCGTTTGTATAAGTGTGCCAATTGGTTGATAATCCATATGAGATTTTAGAGACCTTTAGAATTTAAATAATATATATAGTTATTGGATGCGAAGCAGCTAATAACGAGAATTATTTGCAAAATAATTCAGTATCTGGCTGTCAAATTTAATGTCAGTTTCTGAGCCTCTTTTGGGCCCAGACATGACACATGTTAAATTCACTGCCAGGTAGACCTGTTATTGTCTATAACGAGTTATCCGGTGATTTACGACAATTGTGTTTGCTAAATGATTCGGGTTTTTTTTGGTATTGTTTGAGTAAGCTGCCAAATAATGAAGTTATTTAGAAGATTACGTAATCACTGCCAAATAACTCGACAAGCACTATCATAGTAAACAGCCAGATAAAAATAAGGTATCAAACATTCGGATTGACTATATAAATCTTTCATATTTATCATTTAAACTTTGGCTTTGAAAAAATATTAACAAAACCATAAGCCTCAAATAATATTTATAAATTACTAAGTTGGCTTTATTTTTAACAAATTCTAGAACTTATAGTGAATCAAGTGGCGGATTTGATGCCTATTGTTTTATCGAAATGGACAAGTGAACATAAGATGTAATGAAACATTAATCTGCTTTTTCTTTTTTACATTTACCAATTGTTTAATTATATATTTATAATGAACCATGCGACAGTTTTATATACATTTCCCAAATTTTTTGCAAAGGTGGACAAATTATAATGAACTATGCGACAGTTTTATATACATTTCCCAAATTTTTTGCAAAGGTGGACAAATATGTGTAAATTATTCTTTTTATTTCTAAACAAATTTATTTTTATATTTAATAATAGAACTTATAATGAATTAAGCACAGCAGATTTTAAAATATTTCGTCTTGCTTTCGGTAGATGGGTATAATGATTCTTTTGTTGGTTTGTTTATTCTTATTGTCCAAATGCAAAACGTATCATGAAAATGGCTTATTATTTATGAAATATCAAATAAAATTGGGTAGTTCTCTATGGAAAACTCTTTTTGATTTTATTTTATATAAACCTCAATAGTTATCATCTTTTTCTTTGTTTTTAAAATTAATTAAAATCTTTAAAATGAACTTTAAGTCTTGGTATATTTTTGCCGCAATTATTTTTGTAACAATTGCAGATTCCAGTCCATCTAACTTTTTGAAGAGTAATTCCCTTTTTAGAACTAATACTCTTGTTATTTATATACTTTTTTCATATCTATTAAACAATATTTTTAAATCATATTTTGTATAATTTACTAATCATTAGGAGGTATTATGTTTAATATTGTTCTTATATCATATCTTTGTTTTTTTTTACATAATCATTTTATAATTGACTTTTAAATACATCTATTAAACTATAGCAATACCAGCAATACCTTTGTGTAAGTATTAGTTATACAAATTATTAATGTTTCGTAATTAACAAATCTTACAACTTAAAGAGTTTTTTAAATTATCAGCTTTAGATTGTAAGTGTTAGCTTTAAAAATTAAAAATTTTGGATAACATTTTATAGTTAATTTTTTCATTTTCTATAAATGGCTAGACTGTAAGTAAATATTTTTTGATCAAACTGTTAAAATAACTATTTAATTTAATTCTATAATTTAATATATTCAATTAAACTATTAGATCGTAAGTATTAGTTTTATAAATTACTGATATTTAAAAGTATTTATTAAAAGATTTTATATTTAAAATATATTCTGTTTAACTATTAGTTCGTAAGTATAAATTCTAAAGTCGAATTTTAAAATAGATATTTTATATTTAATTTTTTATAAAATCTAATTCTATTAAACCATTAGCCTGTAAGTATAAATTTTGTAATGTATATTTTATAATTGTATAGTTATAGAAAAACTTTTATAATAAATCAAATGCATTTTTGAATTATTAGGCGGTAAATATATATACATAATTTAATTTTTTATCTTTTTAAAATTAATTAAATATTATTTTTTATGATTTATTACATTTATTAAATTGTTAGGCAGTAAGTATAGATTTAAAGTTTTATTTTTTTTTAAACTAATATTATTATTAAATATATTTATACTTAATTTTATTTTTATTTAATTAGAAAGTAAGGATAAGATTATAATATTATTTTTAAAATTAACAAGTTACGTTATAAATTTAAGATTATAACTAACTTTATATGTAAAATATTAGCATGTAAGTTCATTTATAACTAATACAGTCGTTCTCCTCTACAGCACCTCCTATATGGCCACGCCCTCTTTATAAGCACTATTTTTTGAAAAACTGTTGATAATATATTTATTTAAAATAAAAATTTATATAATCACATTACTATAATTACATCTTTTTTATGTAAAACAAACTGTGTGATTATAGAGGAGGACGACTGTATTTTGTAATTAAATATTTTTAATTAATTTTTAATGATTTTGTTAAACTATTAGATAGTAAGTACAGATTTTATTTAGCTAATTTTATAATATTTTAAATTAATTTTTATTGCTATATTGATATTGATATTAATATTAATATATATTTTACTAAACCGATTAGCTGGTAAGTAAATATTTTAAAATGTATATAATTAACTATATTCTGAATAACATAGTATTTTAAACTATTGGAAGGTATGTAATTTTTAAATTAACTTCTTGTACTATGATAAAACAATATAATTTTATAACTAAAGGTATTTATTAAACGAATAGGACGTAAGTCTATGTTTTATAAAATCTATTATTAAAGTTGATAGTTTGCATAAATATTTTAATTAATTTTTATTGCTATATTGATATTAATATTAATATATATTTTACTAAACCGATTAGCTGGTAAGTAAATATTTTAAAATGTTTATAATTAACTATATTCTGAATAACATAATATTTTAAACTATTGGAAGGTATGTAATTTTTAAATTAATTTCTTGTACTATGATAAGACAATATAATTTTATAACTAAAGGTATTTATTAAACGAATAGGATGTAAGTCTATGTTTTATAAAATATATTATTAAAGTTGATAGTTTGCATAAATATTTTAATTTATTTTAATAAACTATTAGCAAGTGATATTATATATATATATAATACTATTAATTAAAATAATAACTTTAATTTAATTAATTTTTATTATTTATATTGTATAAAATCTATTATTAAAGTTAATAGTTTGCATAAATATTTTAATTTATATTAATAAACTTTAGCAAGTAATATTATATATATATATAATACTATTAATTAAAATAATAACTTTAATTTAATTAATTTTTATTATTTATATTGTATAAAATCTATTATTAAAGTTAATAGTTTGCATAAATATTTTAATTTATATTAATAAACTTTAGCAAGTAATATTATATATATATATAATACTATTAATTAAAATAATAACTTTAATTTAATTAATTTTTATTATTTATATTGTATAAAATCTATTATTAAAGTTAATAGTTTGCATAAATATTTTAATTTATATTAATAAACTTTAGCAAGTAATATTATATATATATATAATACTATTAATTAAAATAATAACTTTAATTTAATTAATTTTTATTATTTATATTGTATATATCTATGTAGTATGTAAGCTAATTTTATATTTAATTATAAAAGAATAACTTGCAAATAACAAACCAAACCATTTTTAAACTTTTGCCAATTAATATGTTTGCAAATTGCTTTTATATAATATACTTTATTTTTAATAAATATTTATATTTTAAAAAATTAGGCAGTACAAGTATATATTTAATATTTTTAAACTACTAGTTAGTAAGTATTTAATTTAACAATACCTTTTTGATAATTTTATTATTTTACAATTTAATATATTTTTATTTAACTATTTTTATAATTAATTTCATATTTGTTAATATGTTTTATTAAACAATTAGATGCAAATTTAAATTTAACTAATATTTCTTTAATATTGAACTATTATAGGTGGAGGTAAAGTATAAATTTATTTTGTCAAATTATTTGAATGTTAATTTATTTTCTCTAATTAGTTTTTATTAACGGTTGGATCAGTTAATATTGGATACATACCGGAATTCAAGTTTCATGATATATATCCGATAGTCTGTCATAGATTTGCCAAATACCTGCTGTATATCAGCAGTTTATTGGCAGCATATTGGTAAGTTATTGTATGGGTATGTATGAATAATATAGTTACACATGGGTTCATATTCCGTGCCTCGGCACGGAAGTTAAATATGAACCTGCGTGTGTAACTGGGTTACTCATATACTCATATAATAACTATCTTATTGCACAGTGTCTGACGTGCAATCCCGCGCCAATAAATAAATGAAAAAAGCACAGGTTGTCTCATAAAACTCGTGTAATAAACAGTAGGTATCTGGCGGATCTATGGCAGACTATCGAGTACATATCAGGAAATTTCTTCTGATATGTACCTGGTATTTATTGATTCAATCTGTGTTAATATATTATATTAACCTACTAGGCTGTAAGTATACTTTTATTCTATCTGGAGGTCGGTTCCTTTGAATATCCATAACTGCTATACAGTAAATATTCATGGGGTTGGATGTTCACAGATAAATTTCCAGATGTGGATGGATATCTATGCTATTATAAACTTCATGCGAATATTCACGAATATACACAAATTATTATATTGATTACAAACCCTTGACTATTCATGAATTCAGTAATCAAATATTTGATATTCAACAAATAACCATTTTTAACCATGAACATTCATGGATCCGACCTCTAATTCTATCAAACTATTAAAATAATTAATTTATGTAATTAAACATATTTGTAACTAATTTGCAAACTATTAACATACACTATATAGATCCAATTTATGGATGTAAGTTCAAGTTTTATAGTTATATTATAATTAAATACCTAAATTTATATAATTTTTTTGTATTTTAGATTGTAAGTATAAATTTATAGCTTTGTACTTTGCAATTAATAAATACTGCTAAATTGTTCCTTAACTTATTAATATATTTTCAATAATTTTTAGTTCGTAGGTGTAAATTTT